AAATTGCAAACGACTCACATGCAAAGGGATATTATTATAAAGAAGGTGTGAAACAACCTACTATGGCGTTAATCCGGCACTGCTTCAAAGCGTCAAAAACAATATTTAACCCAGCGACTAATGTCTCAAGATTCGGGCATTTTTTGAGAATATCCCACAAAAGTTCGGTGAAGTCTACATGTCTGCAACTTCCGTCAATACATCTGAACTGAATAATAAATAAAAGCAGCTCACCTCATTCCGTGAACTGTGCGCTTAGTTTCGTTGTTCTGAACTCTATACTTAGTTATGAGCTCCCGTACCTCTTCAAAGATGGTGTTTTGAGAGCTTTCATCACCGGATGGCCAAACCATTTTTGCTCCAGAATCCAATACACAAGCCATGAGCTTAAAAGAAACTAGTATTTTAGAGTCTTTCACATAGAAGGTAGTTTAAACTTTGCGATTACTAGGAGATACTCGAGCTCCTCTGAGTTCTCTGGTAAAGAAACACGTTTATCTTTCCATCCCGGTGAAAAGTGGAATACTGCTGTAGCAGATGGCGACGGGGTTGAGAGGTAATCTCCTTCCTCAAATGCCTTATTAGAAAGCAATTGTGGGAAAAAACAATGCTACCCATACCTGAGCTTCCCACCTAAACGTGAGCGTCATGTTTGAGAGAAGTGTGCCTGGACCCCATGCAGAAGATACATTACTTTCCAATATCTGAAAATGCAATTCTTTAGAATATTGGAGGAAGTATTGTAAATTTATTGTTAGCTTACACTATACAAAGCCATAGCTTTGCTTCTTGTTTCAAATCCGTCAAAACGTTGACGTAAATTGTTGAGTGCCTTCTCGCAGTTCTCTTCGAAACATCCTGAATTACAACGTAGAAGTGGACTTTCCTGTAGTAATTTACCGGTACAACGAATCAGATGAGATGAGGCTGTTAAAATTGACTGGCACTAAAATCCCTAAGCTCATCATAACGTCAGTCACGAGTAGACAAGATAAAGATAGCATGACTAAGACATGTAAAGATGAAAGCCCAGACCAAGAGTAAGAACATAAAGTTATTGGAGAATTCAATAAGCCTTCAAACAATTCTCGGGATTGAAAAACGAGGCTTCCATAGACTTTTATTAAGCAGTTGTTTTGATTAACCGCTATAATTTTTCTGACTACTGTTAAGTACTCTAGTTCGATGCACATATACACTAGACTGGCAAGAAATAATCAGT